AAAACTTTAAAAAAGAACTTTAATAAACTTAAAATGGCAAATATTAATAATAAAAGTAAGCAAGAATTAGAAATGAAACAGAGATGAATTTCAATAAAGTACACGATAACTCTGCGATATTAACAAGAAAAGTAATGGATGAGACTTGCAATTAAAGGTCACGGAAAAAATGATTCATTGACACTGAACAACAAAATATCTCTTTTACCCCATCAGTAATCTTTCAATGTATTTTGTATGCAGAATTTACTTATGTAATTAAAATTAATCTGCTCGCACTTATCGAATAAAAAGTTCTGAAAATATTTGAGAACAAATATGCAAGACATGATGTTTTTTTCACTCTTTGGAATCGTATATCTTTGGATTCATAAATGACGGTATAATTTATTTTATAAGGCATAATGTAACCTCTCATTTTATTTATCTTTTTAAGCGATAACAAGCTTTTGCACCCTACCATAATCTCAAGTGTATCCATAACCCACAAGACCCTTAAATATATTGCTAATTATAATAAATATAATAATCTTAAAATGTTACTCTCATAAATGGTAAATATAGGGGACAGAGAGGCACGTTTTAATATTCTAAATATTTATTAGCAGATATAATTTGAAATCGCAGCGTAACATAATGCTTTTTTCTTTATAAAATGTATTTTTTTTGTAAAAGAAAGGCTGTTGCAGCTTTTAATTAGTTGATATGTGACGAAAGTAGTGAAATTTTTTTTATTTCCTTGCACATTTGAAGTTAAATATCCCGAAAACTGTATTCTTAAATTTGATTTAAACTTGATCTGCTTAGATGTAATAGTAATAATTTAAAAATAAGAATGAAAAAAACAGATAAAAAGATAAAATTATACTGATGACCGAGATAGAAATACAAAATATAGCAACTTCATTAAAATTGATTTATAAATAGCTTAGTTTATTCATTTAAATAGCATTTATAAAATACAAACAAAATTATGCAAGAAAATATTTATTTAAATGAGAAAATGTTAAACATGTGTAAAAATTAAAAATTTTCAACAGTATGGTATGTTTCAAAGCATGGAACAACACACAATGTGACATTGCACTGTTTGCATTGAAATCGAGATTCTTTCCTAACTCGCTGTCCTTTTGAGTCGAAATTTTTACTGTACATAAAGCACACCCTTGTCGGGTTTTTTGTCGACTCTAAGGCAGCTATCCAGGCAGTTGCCATAAACCATGATTCAGATACTCAGACTATTTCAGATATTAGAGATAATTTGATTTTTCTCGAGAATGCCAACAAAATTATTATGTTCCAGTGGAACTCTTCGCATGTGGGAATCAATGGCAATGAAAAGGCAGACCAACTAGCCAAGGAAGGGACACTCGAACCACAATGTAATAAACCGATTCCACCAGACTTCCTTAAAAAACAATTTTCCGAAAAACTTATGACCGACCTAAAGCTCAACCAAGCAGTAAAATCCACTGGAAAACCCTGGGCTAATATCCAAAACAGTTGGAAGAAATTTTGTCACAGTCCTCGTAAGAAGGCTGTGGCAAACTTCAGACTCTCAAAAGGCCATGACTGCTTGGCAGAGCACCTCAACAGAATAGGTATCCTTCCATATAGCGAGTGCCAAATCTGCAATTCGGGAACCATGAACTCAGACCACTTGCTTGTATGCCCTTTACTGGACAAACAATCCCAAGAGCGGGGTGATCTGTGTCAACTTTACTGGGATGCCAGAGATCACATGAACTCTCTGTAAAGACTACTCCTCATTCTTCACTGTATATATATATATATTTTTCTTCTTACTTTAATTTTTTTCTATGTGTTCTTTTTGTATTAATATGTGTTTGTCATGTGTTTTCTTTGTTTGTTATTGTAATTTTGTCCCTTTTTACTCCTTGTTTACGTCCATTTAAAGTTGAACATTGTATATGGATTAATATTTCCAATAAAGCCATATGTAACAACAGCTTCAAACTCTTAATCTCTTGAGGTATTCCAATACGGTTTATCCTCATCGTTCCATATATATCAGTTTTCTTTGTCAGAAGGTACTCAGCAAGTTCAATAGAAGTGTAATAATTGTCTAGTGTTACGCAATATCCTTTATTTAAGAGATCTTGTATCAATATTAAAACAATATTAGTAGTTGACTCGAAGTTTGAGTTGAAATTGAGAGGGATATTTTTGCCGGTGTAAATATCACTATTGCAGATGTAGCCACTGCTCGACTGACATAACTGGTAGAATTTTATACCAAATCTAGCCCTTTTCTTTGGAAGATACATCTTAAAATAGAGTCTTCCTTTATACAACAGTAAAGATTCGTCAACTGAAATATCCCTTTCAGGCACATATACAGTTTTAAATTTCTCATTTATATAATTATAGACTTCGTATATTTTCCACAATCCCGGTTGTGGATGCTTGGCAGGATCATATGAAGAATTGTTTGCAAAATGCAGAAATTTCATCAGAAGAGAATATCTCTTTTCTGACAATACCTGTCCTATATATGGTGTTGATATCAGTAACTTTGTGGACCAATACCATTTTTGCACTGACTTTTTATCACCCCCATCAAAAGAATTAGGACAAACAAAACTCGAATTTCATTCGAGTTTGTGTCCTTCCAGTCCTTCACTCGAGAACTTGGTGTTAAATCATTAGTCGCAACGAAACTCTCCGCATATCGATTTGTTTCTGTAGCAATGTAACTCACTATGTCAGGGGTGGCGAACTTTTATACACCAACGTGCCATTTTTTTCTAAAAAATTGTTTAATGAGGTCATAGACGTGCCGTCAAATAATTTTCACTTCGTGATTATTGGGAAAACAATAATACTAAATACTATCAATTCAAAACTCTTTATTTACATTGAAAAAAAATATATTGTATTTTGCCATGTCTTAAAACAATTTAAGGTAACATCAGTGTGACTTCTGTTGCTGCAGATTCTATGACAAATAACTTATATTAGGTTGTAAGATGTTAGTTTAAGCGGGACTGTTAATTTTTTTTGTTGCTAGTTATTTATTGTTAGCTTGCTTTTTATGGTTATTAATTTGTTTTTTTTAGCATTAATTGTTAATTTTTTATTAATAATTGTTTATTATTTTGTGTGTGTTTTTGTGAACTTTAATTTAATTGTTACATATGCTTCATAGTGTAATACCATTTGTGTAATAACAAATGTGAACGGTGGCGTGCCCGAAATATTGTGTCGGGTGCCATAAGTGGCACGCGTGCTATTGGTTCGCCATCCCTGCACTATGTCGTCATCGAAGAAAATACTGAAATACTCTAAAGGAGTATGAGTATAAATAGGCGTCATTACACCAGGTTTTCCAATAAATTCCTACCTCGAAGCTGGTGGCGTAGGATCGCTTTCATCTAGTTTACACCATATTCGTCCATCAAGTTTTGGTTGAGTATCATCGTCTTCTGAATCCGAAGAAAAGTCCGAAGAGGATGGGTCAGAGTATTCGTCTGAATCCATTTAGAAAGTAAATAATGAAAACTGTAGATTTTAAAAAAACAATGAAAAACTTAAGTCTGAAAAACTGCTAAATAAAAGAATTTAAAGTTAAGTAAAATAATAAAAATCTTAAGTTATATAAATAATTAACTAAATTAATTTCGTCATTAAATTTGCAAAATAAATAAAATTTTCGTTAAGTCTTGAGAAAGACTGTTTTGAAATTAAAATAAGCAATGCACAGCTAAAGAAGATCTGTATACAGGTATATCTGGTAGTTTCAGTCTTTTCTCCGCCATCCCCCCCCCCTAAAAAAGAAATCTCACCCTTATTTATTCTGAATAGAAGGAGTGACTAGTTCGATGACGTTCGACTTAAAAACCTGAATTTACTGGCAGTGGTGGACTGCGCTCAGTAATTGCCTCAATTATAACCCCCACCCCTAACAGTATGCTGATTGCGCTGCTATACGATACTAGTTGATAACGTTTGTAGGTAGATCTCTTTCCTCATTGACATGTGAGGGGTGCAATTCATAAAAATCAAGCACTAACTTGACGATAAGCTTCTACTTGGTCAAGAAATATATCAAAATATATTAGGCCAAGTTACTAACTTTGAGATATTGTAAACAGGATTAGATTTACAATTAGAATCTAATGCATTTACTGATAGTAATGCATTAAGTAGTCAGGAACGGGTGAACTTATGCATTTGAGAACGTTGTGTTATTCTCTTTTCAACTTTTGATTTATTGCTTCTGTCAGTGTTGGCATAATTTAAATCACTTGATTTTAGTCATGAATTAAATCCTGATTAACTCCGCCACATGGATAGCTTCGGCTATTCCGTGCGCCAGTCCCAAGCCTGGATAAAGGAGGAGGGTAGGGCGTAGGGCTAGTCCCTCAACCCCGTAAAACATCCCTGACTACAGAAACCAAAAGCATATCGGACCAAATTCTCTTGGCGGAAGCAATGACTTGTGAAATTCCAAATGACAGTTATCTAACCTGGAATGAGGAAATCACGCCTATGAAGTGTCTAAGGGAAAGCCATTTGGAGCCTTCGATGCGGAAGAAGTCATTGATGAAACCTAAACACAAGTTACGAATTGGTGCTTGGAATGTAAGAACTATGTACCAATGTGGAAAAAGCAGACAGGTGTCAATGGAAATGGATAGATACCAATTGGATATCTTAGGAATATCAGAACTATGATGGACAGGTTTTGGCAAGCTTAAAACTGGAAATGAACAAATCATTTTGTACTCAGGAGCTGAAGAAAAGCACGAAAGAGGCGTGGCGCTAATCATTAATAAAGAAACAGCGAAGAGTCTTTTGGAATGGGAACCAATCAGTGAAAGAATTTTAGGAGCACGATTTTATTCAAAGTACATTAAACTAACAATTATTCAAGTGTATGCACCAAGAATGATGCTGATGAAGAGGAAAGGGAGACATTTTATGATCAACTACAATGTATTTTAAATCGAGTTCCAAAACATGACATAATAATTCTTATGGGAGACCTTAATACTAAGGTTGGAAAACGGATTAGTGATGATGAAACCTCCATGGGAAACGAATCACCGGGCGAGAGGAACGAAAATGGAGAACTGTTTGTTTCCCTGTGCGAACTAAATAGTTTGAACATAGGTGGGAGTAGATTCAAGCATAGAGAGATACATAAATGTACATGGACCTCACCAGACGGAAGAACAAAGAATCAAATAGATCATATTGCAATTAATAACAAGTTCAGGAGCTCACTAAGAGACGTAAGAGCGATGAGAGGTGCCGACGTTGGATCAGATCACTACTTGATTCTTGCAATATTAAAACTAAAATTAAGAAAATCACCAAAGAAGACGGGACATAAAAGAATAAGCTATGACATTGCTAAGTTAAAAGCCAAAGAGTGCAGACAAGAATTTTCAATCGAGTTGAAAAACAGATTTGAGCTGTTAAAGGAAGAAGAAAATCATGGCAACACTAAGCAATCAGAAAATGAGGTAAAAGAAAAAGTTGAAGAGACTTGGGAACATATCAAAAACATTTATTGCGACGTAGCAGAAAAAGTGTTGGGTAAAAAGAAAGGAAAGAAAAGCAAAGAATGGATTACGGGTGAAACATTAATACTAATTGAAAGCAGAAGGAAAAAGAAAATACAGATGGAAACTACAAAGTCTGAAAGATTATTTAATCGGTATAGACAGCAGTATAGTCAAATTGATAGAGAAGTAAAAAAGTCAGCCAGAAAAGACAAAAGGAAATATTTCACAGACCTTGCCACTGA